TTTGCAAACAGCAATGGCCAGTCTTCTTAGGACCCCAATCTGGGCGGACACGTCCCCTCTCTTGGGACTCCTACATCACTCTATAAGCTCCTCTCCCTGTTTCTGAGCATTAAATTATATATATATATAGTTAATTGTGAATAAATATGATTATATTTATCAACATATATGAATAAATATGTACATAACATAAAATGTACCATTATAACAGTTGTTACATGTACAATTCAGTGGCATTAAGTACATTCACACTGTTGTGCAGCCACCTCCCCCATTCATCCTCAGACCGCTTTTCATCTCGCAAAGTCAAACTGTGTACTCACTGAACAACTTCTCATTCTCCCTCTCCCCAGCCCTTAACCAACCACCCTTCTATTTTCTGTCTCTATGAATTTGATGACTTTAAGTACCTCATATAAGTGGAACCATAGAGAATTTGTCTTTTTTTCATGACTGGCTTATTTCACATTGTAGAAATAAGGAATGTCCCCTTACGGAGGGATTTATATAAATGTGCAGCCCAGAAGATCAAGGCATTCCCCAGACCTTCATCCAGACACCATCCCTCCAAAGACAACCAACCAGAAATAGGCTGGGACATGAGGAATCACAGCATAAGATTATAATTTAATGGCAGGAAAAACCAAACCATATCGAACTTGGCAACTGGGAGAGAAAAGTGGCCCCGACAGCCGGGAGCTGGCCTGGCCCTCACAGCTGGACCCTGGTGAGCTCCAACCTCACAGCTCCCTGTAGTCATGTCCTTGAGGACAGTGCGTCTGGGCCAGCAGCAAACATGGCCAGAACCCCAATCCTATGAGCCATGGCTGCTTCCCTACCAATCAGCTGCAACACCACATCCTAGGTATAAATGAATTAAGCTTCTCAATCGTACACCTACCCCTGCTTCCTGACAGCACACATCGGGAGCAAACCCCCACTTCCTTAAATCTTCCTCAAATCCTTCAGTACCTGTCCAGGTTCTGTGATCCCCCTCCCCGGCCCCGAACACTCGCCTACTGAGACGCCCTGCTGTTCCCAGTGTCCGTGTGGACCCCCTGCTGCGGCCAGTGTGATAAGCCCACTCTGTGAACTGCGGCCACGTCCCCGGTGGTCTCTGATTGATGACCTTCAACAAGACCGTTGAGGAATTCAAATGGAAGGAGTGATCCCAAGAAGTGCCAGCCAGCTGCAGGTGGCACAGGGGACTTGTGAGCCCATCAGAAACCCCACCAGCCGCCACGTCTTCCCACCCCAGCGACACTCTGTGATGGCTATTAGTGTTGTTTCCACTTTAGAGATGAGAAAGCAAGGCTCAGAGGGTAAAAACCCGTCCATACTGTTGAGCAGCAGACCGGGCCAGAGACCCGAGTGGCCTGCCCCCGGGTCCAGCGCTCTCTCGGCCCTGCACCTTCCCCGCTGGAGCTGCACTCACCAAGCCTGGCTGCAAGGGCACAAGGCAGGTGGGCTCACAAGGGGAGTCATCCTGGTCACCGGCAGAGAGCACAGCCTGAGCCCCGAGTGTAGTGTTAACTCTGCTCAAGGATTCGGTGGCCTTAGAGGGCCTCCCACAGTGAAGGCTCCACCTGGTCACCCAGCAGCCACATCACTATGTCCAGGAACAGTGCGCTTGTGTACTGGCCAGTGTAAATCTTCATGGCTGGGGATGAGGAGCCCCAGTGTGGGGGGAGGAAGTACAGGCACTCGCTGGACACTGGTGCCACACTGAGCAGATGCCCAGACATTTCTCTGGTGCTACTATCAAAAGCCAGCATTCACCTCGGTGAGATCTTAGTTGGAACACAGACGAACTTCTAATAGGTATGCATTTATTTTCACATATAACTAGCACAACACATAACTTCATGGATATATTGCTTAGCACAAGAATAAATTGGTAAGTGAGTTTTAAAAAAAAGTATGTTGAATTAAAGAGAATATTAAGGAAGTAAGAGATTAGGAGGTCCTTGTATGATAAAAATTGTGGAGGTCTGTGAATGCCTGGCGTTTGGGACTCACTGCTCTAAGCTTCAGCCAAGAAGCTGTGCTCTGCTCTGAAGCCCTTAAGGGGCCCTAAAGAGAAACTCTCCAGATACCTGGAGCCCAGGGCATCCTCATAGGAGCACGTGGTATGAGGCGACCCCAGGGAGGAGAGTATGTCTTGTTTAATTTGTTCATACCCTACAAAATGTCTTATAAGTTACAAAGCAACAAAAGTGATTTTCCTTAAAAGGGAAAAAGCATCTTCTAGGTATGGCCTTGAGGAGGCAATGGTCACAGGATAGCTGGGGCTGGAGGACCCGATCAGGGGTTGGGGGGGACACCCCATTACTGTCCGGAGAAGTGTGTGTATGTGTGTTTGAGTGTGTGTGCACGGCCCCAGTCAGGGCTGCAGGAGGAACACTCAGAGCTCCTGTGCTCTGCTCCCCAGCACACAACAGGCACTCAGCCGGGGTCACAGGTGGCGGCCCCGGAAGGTGGGGGAAGGGTTGCTGACCTTGGGTGTCAGTGTGTCACCCTTTGCTCTGTTCAGTTTAATGTCTGGGCCTGGGCCCCACATCAGTGTGACATGTCCCGCAGGTGGGAAGTTCGTGGCTGTCCCACCACTAGGTCATAATCTTGTAGATTTATGAACAATGGAAGACATTTTCTATGAAGATTTCTGCCCCCCTAAAAATCCAAAGAATGTTTCTCATCATTTGAACTTCAAATTTTAAAAAATAGTGCCTTTTAAGGGACTTTGGAGTTTTAGTGAAAAAGTTCCTATGAACTAGAGCTGGTCTCAGCACCCCATACTGACAGCTAAGGTGTCATTGCTAGGGACACAGGGTGCCACCTGGAGACTTGCTCTGCCTCACCCCAGAAAATGGGGGTCAAGGCCAGTGTTGGGGCCCCTGGGCATGATGTTCATGGTACAAAAGCCTCCCGGTGCCCAGAGGGGAGAAGGAACAGCTGACAGTCTGAAGGATGCTATCTGCCAACCACTCAGCTCCCAGCTGGGAGGAGGCCCAGGCTTGGGGGGCGCTCAGCTCCTGTGTCCCGGACATGCTGGGCAGGGCTGCTGGCTGGTCCCTGTTGTGGTTTGGAAAGAGAGTGTGCAAGAGCAGGGTCTGGTAGGGAGAGGAGTTAGGGAAGGGCCCGACCTGGGCTAGCGTGCGACCGTGGCACCCCCACCCACCGAGGCCTCAGCAGCACCCTGCCGCGCTCCGCTTCACGTGGCACGGCTTGCAGAAGAGACGGTTGTTCAGAGGGTAGCAGCCTTGGTCCGTGGGCTCCACAGACAGGAGGATCCTGCAGTCCTGCGGGAACAAGGCACATGTGGATGGACGCCAGCCTGGAGCCCTGCAGTGCGGAGCCTGCGTGGGCTGGACTCGCCAGCATCCACTGATGCAATGACTGAGTTAGCTGAAGGGAGAACTGAGGACACGGGGAGAAGCCCCCTAAGGGGTCACAGAAAGGGCTAGAAGGGCCCCAACAATCACCCAGCAGCCCCTGAGGTCCAGGGAGGGGTGAGGCCTCCCTCAGGTGACAGTGGGTTCCAGAGCTCAGAGTCCTGGGGTCTTTTGTCATTCCACTGACTGCACAGCTTCAACACTGGCACAGACTCTACATGGCTCAGGGCACGGCTGGCGTCCTCTGGAAGCTGCACTGATCAGGCCAGGGGGGCTGGTCCCCGCAGGGATTAACTGTGGTGTCAGGGGTGCCAGCCTGAGTCAGCACAGCCAGCTGGGAAGGGCGCCCTCGTGTGTCTATTCTCTGGAACTGCACCTCAGGTCTCGTAAGGGGACTCGGGCTGTTTAATACCAGGATCTGCACCATTCTTAACGGCCACTTGTTCGGCATTCTGAAAGCATCAAGTGCCAAATTGAGAGCCCCAAAGGGGCACATGTGACTGCTTCTAAGTTAGAATCAAGAGAGGAAACACCTCAGCTACGACCAAGTCGCACAGTCGGCAAAGGAGCTGAAAGGTGGCAGAGAAGCTGGCCAGACCCAGCCCAGAAGAACAAGTGACAGAACCATTTCCTCAGCCTCAGTTTTCTTGTCTTAAATGAAGATATGAACTCCCATATCGCAAGCTCGTCACAAGGATTAAATAAGGCGATGCCTACGAAAGCATTTTACATATTAAAAAAACATGGCCCGAGTACGAAAGTATTGTTACCCTTCCAGCAACGGACCACAGAGTGAGCAGCAATGGCGAGGGGAGTGGCACCGTGAAACTCATCTTCCTTCCGAGAGAAGCAGCATCCCAAATCTGCTCCAGGCCACGGCGGCTGGAGCCTGACAGCCTGAAATGAGGCTGCTGGAGTCCAAACTCTGGCTCACTGCCGCGGCCTGGGTAATGTTCCCGGTCGCCTGGGCCAAGCTGGCCAAGGACAAGCAGGGAGAGCTTATTTGCTCAGTAGCCAGGCCCAGGGAAATGCTGATCACCACTGGACTTAATGTGGGCTATTCTGGTGATAACAGCACTTGAATTTCAGGGCTGGTCTTTCAAGGTGCATTATCAGCCGGACTGTAATCAACAAATCAACTTTTTTTTTTTAATGGAGATACTGGGGATTGAACCCAGAACCTCATGCATGCTAAGCATGCACTCCACCACTGAGCTATACCACCCTCGACCCCTCCGCACAATTATGAAGCAATGTGTGTACTTCTCGACTAAACTCCCTTGTCACCCTCAGTGAAAATGCCCTCTTGGCTCTGCATATTTGTTTAAATGTGAGTGACTAAATGTTTGGAATCCCTCATTGGCTGATTAAGAGATTTGGTTTCTGGGAGTTCCCACTTCAGTGATTGTCACCATCACCAGAGAAGAAACATCGGTGATGTGGGGGTGACAGTAGAAGGCAGAGGAGGACTCTCAGAGCCTCCCCAGCAGGACTGACTATATAATTTGCAGGGTCCAGGGCAAAATGAAATGCAGGATTCCTTATTCAAAAGTAAAGAATTTTCAAGTATGCCAGCAGAGCATTAGAGCAAGCACAGGGCCCTGCTGAGCGTGGGTCCCTGTGGAACTCCCAAGGCATTTCTTGCTGGGAACTACTACGCCAGCTTCTAACCAGTTCCCCCATCTCAGTCTCATCACTCTTGCAGCCCGAGGTCCAGACTCCTTAGCTTGGCACACCGGGCCCTTTCCTTCTCTCTGGCCTCATTGTTATCACACCGTCTGGCACTCTACACTCCAGACACACCTAGAAACTTGCACTTCCTCCAATTTTTCAGGCTTGCTTGTGCCACAGTAGCATTTTACAGGCCCTTACCTCTTTCTGGATTTCTTTTCTCCTCCCTGAATATGTGGCAAACTCCTACTTATCCTGCAAAACCCAGGATTAAGCATCACCTCCTCTGAAAGAGTGTCTTTGCACTTTGATCACTTGACTTGATCACTGCCTTCTTTGTCCCAAAGCTGACTTATACATGTTTTTTCTTAGCACCTGAAAAAAAAATCTGTGGTATGGGTCTGCCCAGCATCCCTTTCTTCCTTCTTGTGGTTGTATCAACCCCTGTTTCATACAGTTCTGCCTCCCTGGCCCCAGGGGTTGACAATCATAGACTTTGGCCAGTGACTGGTCCAGAATGGGCATGTGACCCAAGCTGGGTGAATCAGAGGCCTCCTTGGGACTGTATGGGACCCCTGGATGGGGTTTCTAAGTAGGAAGGATGTAAACCTGGGCAACCACGGCCATGCACTGTATCCCCTGCCTCACAGAGGATGCTAGCCCACAGGAAGGAAAAAATGGAGTAAACGCACAAAAAAGGCAGAACTGAGAGATGGAGGGAGAGCCCTATGATAGTCTGAGGTCACAGTGACATCACCACTAAAAGCCTACCCGTAAGATCCCCTTCTTACAGGAAAGGGGTTGAGTTTGGTTGCTGCCATTAACTCCAAGAGTTCTGATTAATAGGCCGTATTTGCAATTATTTCCTTTCTTGCTTGTCTCGGCTATTGGACGGCGAGCAATGTGAGAGCAGAGCCTCAACCTGGACTTGTCCCGGCCCAGGGCCTGGCCCACAGCGGGCTCTCCAGAGGGCTCGTGCAGCCATTAAACAGGACCAGCAGCATCTTATTAAATCATCACTGCTCCACTCACCTCACATCTGTAGCAATTTTCATGGAAGTTTCTTCCCATGCACTCGATCTTGAAGGCATCCTTCCCGTCTCGGGGGATGATGGGATTCTCACAGATGCTGCACACAGGGGCGAATTTCCTAGAGGGAAGGAAACCCACACTCAGGAGGCACTGATGCCGACAACCGCAGAAATTAGCAGCCAGTACCCGGGCCTGCTCTGGTTCACCTCCCAGAGTGACTATTTCAGACTCGTTGCTATGTGACTACACCTGGAGCTACAACCATACATGCCTATTACTTCCTGGCAGGAGCGGATGGAGAGACCTATGTCATGAGACCCGGCTTCCCAGGGTTATAACTAGCTCAAGGCAAGGAAGTGACTGGAGAATGTTAAAATTTGAGAAGGCAGAGAAATCTCATGCGTTTAGTGGGACTCATTTCCTTTGTCTTGTATTATAGGTCACTGCTTTTTTCTTCTTTCCTGTCTTTTTTACTAGGCACATCTGTCTCTTGCCTTGGGCAGTGAGCAACTTGAAGGCAGGGACAGGGCTCCACGGATTTTCTGTGTCGCCACCGCTCCATACGGCTCCAGCTCCGAGGGGAGGCACTGTGGTCTGGGGCTTGAGAGCAAGGCCCTGAAGTCAGGTCAATGGGGGGTTGATTTGCAGCTTCAATGCTGACCAGCCGGGAGATTTTGGAATGGAACAGGCAGACCTGGTTTCTGTGGGCCCAGAGACTGCAAGAGAGCTCTGACTCGGCCCCCAGCACTCAGGCTCAGCTCCTCCATCCTGTCGGGGTCCCACCCTGTGCTCCCTGCCCCACCCAGTGCACAGACCCCTCTCAGACCTGTAGAAGTCATCCAGGCAGTACACCGCATTCTGGCTGTCCAGGGCGAAGCTCTCATCCCCGATGCACCGGGCGCAGGTCACACACGTGAAGCAGGTGGGGTGGAAGGCCTGGCCCAGGGCCCTGATGATGTGCTCCCGGACCACTTCGCCACACTTGCCACACTTCTCCAGGGTGTCCTGGGACAGAGGGTCGGTGCTTCAGAGCCATACCACGGGTACGGAGAGGCGTTCACATTCATGCAATCGGCCTGTAGCTACTACCTACAAACCTCCACGTTGCTTAAAAGGGATCGAGTTTGGCACTGCATCCCTGGTTTACAATCTTGCCATGAAGCTATCACTGCATTTCTTTCTTATGAGGAAATGCTTGAGGCCAGGCTCCATGAGGGCCCAGAGGAGAAATTTCTCTAAAACTTCAGAGTCAGCAAAAGGAGTTCCCAGAGGAATTGGTGGGGTTTTTGTTTTGTTTTGTTTTGTTTAATTTTATGGACAATAAACCTTGAAACTCTCCCTTTTCCATTTGGCCACTTGGAAGCTCACAATCAGATCTCATGCTCCACTTTTTGGAATAAGTATAGGGTCTTTCATTCATATATTTTGGGGAACTACCTTTCCTTTGATCTCATCTCACTCTCTACTTTGATTTTCCTCTCTTTTGATTTCTTTATTTGTTTTATATCTCATAGTATTATATTCATCCTTTAAAAAAAGTTTTTATTTTATTGTGGTATAAGAATACCTAACATGAGGTCCACTTTCTTAACAACAAAGGGCTCCTTTTAGCCCATCCACCTTTTTTTCCTGGACATGTTTCTTCCCCTTCCTGGCCTGTGTTCCTCTTCATATTACCCTGCCTTCCTCTGGACAGATGTATTTGGTGGGGGCAGCAACTCCCCCACCCTCCCTGTCCCGGGGGCAGCCCTCGCCTCCCCAGCGCACTGCTGCAGTCCTTCCTGGCTGCTTCTAGCTGTAAGCCCACCCTTACCCCGTCTTCTCAGGGCCTCACCGCTGCCTGGCTCCAAGCTGAGGGAAGAGTGTAAGGACATCCCCCCCTATCCTGCTGACGGGGTCAGAGGGGCAGGGATGGGGGTGGCCTGGCTCCTTTTTCCTCCCACAGTGCCTGGCTGCCTGCGGTCAGATCATTCTGAGTTTCCTAGATAGTCCCAACTCCAAATATTCTAACCCCTCGAATCAGTACTTTTCAAACTTCAGAGTGGATCAGAACCACCTGAGAGACTTGTTAAACATGCAGATTGCCAGGTGCTGCCAATCCATGAGGCAAGGTGAAGGCCTACAGCACACACAGGTGATGTGTCTGTGGGAGGTGTGCAAAAAATGTCACCACACACCACTGGGGAGTTAACAGCTCCAACACCCTGGCATCCAAACTAGCTTTCGCAGACTGCATTTGGTACCCAGAGATGCCCTCATTACAGCATGCACTGGAACCTCATGGTTCTAGGTAAGACCCGGGCAGGGTCCAGAACCAGACAGGCCTGGGGCAGAACACCAGCTCCACTGCCGTCTGGAGCGTGACCTGTGTGAGAAGCTGAATGATGCCCCCAAAGACATCTAGGTCCTCACTCCTGGAGCAGTGACAACCTTATATGGCAAAAGAGACTCTGTGGATGTGATGGAGTTAAACATCCCAGGATGAGGAGAGCAGCCAGGATTACCCAGGTGGGCCCCAAATGTCATCACAGCTATCCTATAAGAGGGAGGCAGAAGGAACTAAGATACTGATGCAAGATGCCGTACTGCTGACCTTCAAGATGGACAAAGGAACCAAGAAATGCAGCTATAGAAGCTGGAAAAATCAAGAAGTGGATTCTGCCCTAGAGCCTCCGGAGGGAGAAAACACTTTGATTTTGACTCAGTGAAACTGATCTTGGACTTCTGACCTCCACAACCGTCAGAGAATAAATGTGTGTTGTTTGAAGCCACCAAGTTTGAGGTCATTTGTGACAACGGCCACCGGGAAACGATCACAACTTGGCTGAACTCCTTCCCCTCCCTGAGCCTCAGCTTCCCCGTCTGTCAAATGGGTCAGTAGTGCCTAGCTCCCAGGATTGTCGTGCGGAATGAGATAATACAATGTCTTCCAGGTGCCCAGCTCAGTGCCTGGCATCTGGAGAGCTGGCCCACGGGTTACCTGGTAGCAGGGCTCACAGAGGGGCCGCCCATCCTTCTGGTAGAAGCTCTGCCCAGCCAGCTGGCGGCGGCAGATGCGGCATGTGAAGCACTGGGCGTGGTACTGCCTCTTCATGGCCTCCACGGCCAGCTCTCGAGGGGACACGGTCTTGTGGCAGAAGGCACACACATCTGGGGTAGGGGAGACATGGGTCGTGACCAGCCCAGTCTAGGAGAACTGTACCCGGTCATCACCCAGGACATACCCCAAATGCCTGATCTCCACCTCAAACCCTCCGGGGGTTGTGAGTGCAGCCTCAGCTCACGGAAAGGGTCATGAGGAGCATTAACAAGGAAGGCAAATGGCCTTTAAAAAAAGCTAAAATCAAGACACAGAGTGTCAGGACAGCTGGGTTGCCATTTGCAAAAAAATCAAAAGAGGGAGCTCCACCGTGACACTGACACCCAGATGATTCCAAACATTATCAAAGACCCAAAGGTGAAAAATGAAACCATAGGAACACTAGAAGAAACCGAACGAGAATTATTTTATAACCTTGGACTTGAAAAGGCCTTGGCACAGGGTAGGCACTTAATAGCTGTTTATTTAAAGAGTAACACATGGTGCTGGAGAGGCTGTGGGCAAATGGGCACTTGGACACCGCTGGGGGAAGTGTATATTGGGATGACTGAAAATGACAACTTGGCAAAAATTGTCAAGCTTCTTCTTCTGGGAATTTATCTCACAAACTTGCACACAGGCAAAATGACTACATGCAAGGCAATTCACCTTAGCATTACCACCTAAACACCCACCCACAGGTGACCGGTTAAATGCATGTTTGGGCCCTGCTAAGGAAGACTACACAGCTGTGAAAAACAAGGAGGCTCTTTATGTTCTGATGTGGAGCGAGCTCTGAGACCTACGAAGGAATGAAAGCAAAGTGCAGAACAGCACAGGGCTTGCTACTATTGGTAGGAAAATCAGGGCGGGGTACATATTTGTATTTCCTTGCATCTGCATAAAATATCTCTGAAAAGATATGCAAGATTACCAACAGAGGTTGTGTATCTGGAAGGAAACTGGGTGATACAGGGATGGGGCAGGGGAAGACTTTTACTGTGTACTCGTTTGTGCTTTTTATTTTGTACTCTGTGAGGGTTTTAGGTACTCAAATAATTAAACGGTGAAAAAATTCAAGCCATTTTTGCTATCATAGCAAATTTTGCTGATCAATATTTAAATGGATTTTTGTTAGAAAGGAAGAATGGTTAAGAAGATAAAAATAAAGTTGATGTACAACTATGAGGCCTATCGCCATACCATGAGCTGGGACAGGACGGTGGTCCCCACTCTCCTAGTTTTCCCCCAGATGCCTGTGCTGGCCCCGCGAGGCCCGTGTCTGTACCTGTGGACGACTCCCGCTCCGGGCAGCCAGCAGGCTCTTTCAGGGGAGGCGGCAGCTCCTCCTCCGCGGGCCTGAGGTGACCGGGCCGAGGCTGCAGCAGAGGCCCCTCCGCCAAGGACTGTGGGGACAGAAGGTGGGGCGGGAGAGGAGTCATCCAGTGGGGCCCCCACACCACCCTCTCAGCTCTGCTCCTCACCCGGTGGCCCCGGGTACAATTAGCCCCTTGGTACAGAGGCTGAAACTGAGGCCCAGAGAAGCAAGGGACCTGTTTCAAGACCCTCAGCAGAAAAGTTATGGTGGCAGCTGGAGCCCAGGTCCCCCAGCTCCTTGCCCTGGGTCCCTTCAAGCAGTTAGAGCTACTTTCTTCTACTTCTAAGAAACCTCCTGGACTCAGTTTCCCTTGGCCTGGAACCCCTCTCATTTCTACAAGGCCTCTGTTAAGGGCAGAGGATTAAAAATGAGTTTCCTCTGCAGCATAAGGGATTTAGATCAGACACAGGGAACTCTTCCTCTGAGCTGGAGGAGGTACTTAGGGGACAAGGGTATGGCATTCCTTCTCCAGGGACCTTGAAAAACACGTCCAACTTAAAACAAATTATCTATTGGTGGGGCGGTAACTTATTTTAGCGGAGGTACCTGGGATTGAACCCAGGACCTTGTGCATGCCAAGCATGTGCTCTATTGCTTGAGCTATTTCCTCCCCATCCAAGACAGGTCCACTTTTTATCAGCCTAAAAGAGCTTCAAAGACAGACCGTCCTCAAGTAGGAGAATGAATCAAACAATCTCCAGGCTTAAAATCCCAAAAGGCCCGGTATGTCCAGACTCTTCCTGCCTCAACCCACGGAGCTCCGACGACCAAGGGGCTGGCAGTACCTGTGGTGGGGGCGGGGGCGGGGGCAGGTGCAGCTGCTCCAAGTCTGAAATGAGTGACGCCCCCACTGGGGCAGGTGGCTCCTCCTCAGGAGGCGGCAGGTACACCGGAGGGGGTGGCGGCGGAGGTGGGAGGAGGTCCAGGTCAGGGAGCGCGTCCTCGCCATCCAGGGGAGGAGGAGGAAGTGAACAACCTGCAACCAGAAGTGGGGAGAGGGTTGGCCAGAGTCTTTGCAGGTGAACAGAGGAGCTGACACTTACCCAGAAGGCTGTAGAGCATGGGGGCTATGGGCTCAAGTCCAGGGTCACCCAGACCTGAGTTCCATCTCTGGCTCTACCACTGACTTGCTTTGTGTCCTTAGGCAAGAGACTTAATCTCTCTGATTAAGTTTGCTCAGCTAGAACATGGGTATCGGTTGCTTAGGGTTGTTAATGAGGATTCAGTGAAATGATGCAGGTGAGGGCTTGGCCCAGCGCACCCATGTGACACAGGCTCAGAAGCCCTCCATAACAGCCCTCCCCTCGCTGCGTGCTACAGACCCGAAATCCCGCTAGAAGGGCCTTGTTCAAATGCAAGCAAAACTCAGGCTGTGGTTCCAGCATGTGGTCCTTGGACCAGCAACAGCAGAGTCACCTGGGACCTTGTTCGAAACACACCTTCTCGGCCTTCCTCGAGCTGCAGAATCAGAAACTCTGGGGCGGTGCCTCGTCACGTGGTGCTCAAGAAGCCCTCCACGTGATGCTGATGCCACTCCGGGGTGGGGACCACCACCCAGTGAAGTAATAGATTCAGGTAATGGCTATCAGGTGTTGAAAGCATTAGGCGGAAGGTTGATGGGGAACTTCCCAAAAGCTTTGTCAAGCTATCACCACCTGTGCCCACTGATTAACCTCAGCAGACGTCATGGGGCTTCTGACTCAGGTATAGGAAGGGATGGGCACCACTATGTATGACACGGTCTTTAAAAAAAAAACCCCAAAACATAAATGAGAAACCAACTCAAACTCATCAGGCCTCTAGAGTTAAATCTGTTTATAAGAAATCTGGAAAACAGAGGTGCAAGTTGGATGAGACCGCAGGGAAGCAAAGGGACCAATCAGCATATGGGACATTCTATAGACATGGACCCTGTTTCTGCAACAAATTAAAGGCATGGGAGAGACCAAGAGAGGGGACTTCCCTGGAATTAAGAGACGAAAGAGGGACCATACATAATGTATACATCTGTGCTGTCCAGTACAGTAGCCACCAGCCACGTATGGCTATGGAGCACTTGAAAAGTCCACAGAGATATGTTGGAAGACTTAGTACAAAAAAAAGGTAAAATATCTCATTAATAATTTTGATAATGATCACATTATAAATTTATATAGTGGGTTACATAATATATATTATTAAAAGTAATATCATTTATTTTTACTTTTTTCAATGTGGATACTAGAAAATTTAAAAATTACATGAGGCTTGCATTTGTGACTCTTGTGACATTTGTTTTTAATCCACAACTCCACCCCCGTGTGATATTTTTGTTGGACACAGCACTGGTACAGACCTTATTTGGATTCTTTTTTTTTTTTTTTGGTATTTTTTTAATTGACGTATAGCCAGTTTACAATGTTCTGTCAATTTCTGGTGTACAGCACAATGCTTCAGTCATAATACATATATTCATTTTCATATTCTTTTTTACCATAAGCTACAAGATATCAAATATAGTTCCCTATGCTGTACCGTATAAACTTGTTTATCTATTTTATATACTTATTTGGATTCTGATTCAAAGAACTAATCATCTCCTTTAATTCTCATTTTGTGGATGAGGAAAAGCTAAATATTCCACTGAATGATACAGCACAAAAGAAAGACAAGACATGATGTGAGCCATCCATTCCACTACCATCCAACAATTAAAAGGCATTTTTATGACAAGTCAGGGAAAACTAATTATGGATAGAATATTAGATAATCATAAGGCATTCCTGCTGATTTTGTTACGCATTGTTCAGCACTGGGGTTCTGCAAGAAAATGGCCGTATTTAGAGATGCATCCTGAAGAATGTGGGTCTGAAATGACCTGATTACTGGCATTTCTTTTAAAATACTTCACAAAAGAAAGAAAGAAAGGAATAGATGAAACAAATGTGGCCAAATCTCAGTAACTGTTGAACTGGATATGGGGTAAACAGGGTTCCTTCTGTTCTCCCTACTTCTGTGTATATTTAAGTTTCATTCACAACAGAAATTGACACATTGTAACTGACTATACTTCAATAAAAAAGTTTCACTTAACAACAACACAACAGCAAACACACACAGGGGACAGGAGTGGTGTCCAGGGCGTGGCCCTTAAAGTGCACAGACTTTCAGGTGCTCTCGGTAGGGAGGGAGGAGGTGGGCTCGGAGATCACCCGGCTCCTGCCTGAGCCCGAGGCTCTCCTCCTTCCAGGAACACTCACTATAGTGTAATCCCCACCCCTCCAGGCTGCCTCAGCAAGGCGCTGCCCAGCTCCCAAGGAGGACACAGCCAGGCGGTCAGAAGAGAAGCCACAGTGTGGGCCTGTGTTCACTGCCACACACGGGGTGAGACGGGGCACGGAGGCAGTCTGCCCACCTCCTGACACCTGGGCACGAGGCAGGCCAGGCTCCAGAGAGGTCAGACTGCCCTAGACACCCAGAGATAGCAGATGGAAAGTGCTTGAGGCCCTGCAGCCTGGGCTTCGGTCCCAGTCCCAGCATATCTGCTGGGGCACCTCCCTGGGTTCAGTTTCCCACCCATTCGACAAAGATAACGAACCCCTCTCCGCTCTCTCATGGGCTGAAGGGACTGGACAGATGGGAAGCTTGTTCTAGACCTGTGAGTCGGCCCCAGAATCATCTGGAGGCTTGTCCAAATGCAGATGGCTGTGCCCCACCCCAGAGCTTCTGATTCAGCAGGTTTGGGGTAAGCTCGGAGAATTTACATTTTTGGAATTTCATTTTGAATTTACATTAGAATTTACATTTCCTGGGTATGGAATTTATGTTTGCCAGGTATGGGTTCAAAGGCCACCTTTTGAGAACTACTCTTCTCTACTCCACAAGTCTCACCTGCTTAATACCTTTGGACTGGAACAATCGTTCTCAAAGTGCGGTCCCCAGACCAGAGCATCATCAATAATACCTGGGAATACAAATTCCTGGGCCCCGCCGCAGACGTGCTGCTGAGTCAGGAACGCCCAGGGTGGGGCCCAGCTGGCGGGGCTGTGTTGAAACAAGGCCCCGGGGGATGCTGATGCCGCTGAAGTGTGAGAATCTGCTGCAAAGGAGCGGACTGAGTCAGGAACAGGTCACAGAGACACAGGAGGTGCGCTGAGGCCTCTCCCAGGACCTGCTGGAGGTTCCAGACATTCGGTGGGCAGGTCCCAGCCAGGGCAGGAATGCAAGAGACGAGGACTGGAGGCTGCAGGCAGGTGCGCAGAAAGGGGGCCCACACTGAACGGGGACGATGCACCTCAAGTGGCCGAGAGCAGCAGGAGGGGAGCAAGCAGCCTTTTCAAGAGAAGCTGACTTCTGAACAAGAGAGAGGTGGTGGGGCTGGGAGTGCCTAGTGAGGAGAGGGGAGGAGTGAGGGAAAGGTGGCCGGGGTGACTTCGGCAGCCGGGATGAAAGGGCTGAGGAAATGCTCGTTGATTCCTGAGGGGACAAGTACTAGATGAGGTATCAGGTGACAGACAGCTGCAGTGTGCCCTCAAGCAGAGGGCAGGGCCCCGGGGCTGGCCTTTGTGTTCTGTGGTCAGACCAGGCTCATACCTGCTGCTCACCATAAACTCGTCTCATTCCAGCGAGGCTGAACCCCAAGATTCCCCGTGCTCTGTGCATTTGCCAAACTGACCAGCAAATGGCTGACCAGCCACTGTCAGGCTCCCCCTCTCAGGGACGGCCTGGTCTGGTTTTGATACCAAACTCCCAGGATCTTCTGTCTGTAATTCCTATAGCCCACGAAAATGTCTTGGAAATTTTGGCATTCTGGCATCTAAACTATATTTCCTAGGCTCCCAAGGGATATAATTTTTTTTTCCATTGGATCACGTGTCCCAGTGAGCGAATTTTGGTCATCACAGTCCTGGTTCTCCTATACGGAGAAGCAGCTGGAAGATGCTGTTCTTGGCACATGCGGTTAGGAAGGAAGAGTCAATTTAGGAGGCTGCATCATAAGGAAGAAGCACGTTATATAATATTCACGTACTCTCATGCGTGTCCATTTGTGGTCCCTTCTCCTGCCCCTTTCTGGCTTCCTGTATTGGTTTCTAGGTGGTTTCCATGGTGATGGATGCACAGGGCTGCCCCAGCCTCACTCTGGCACAGCAGGACACCTGACTAGGCACCTGAGGACTCCAGGGGGCTCACCTGCCATCCTGGCTGGCCTCTTAACCTGAGCGTCTCATTGCTTCCTTGTTCCAGCTGCTGCCCTATTAGATGATGAGAAATCCTGCTGCCTCAGGCTCCTGGGTCATCATCCTTCCTGGCTTCTATCCAACCCAACAGCTGAGACTTTTTTATGGGAGTGGCAAGGAGAGAGGACTGGAAGGCTCTCTGTCACCATGGCAACAGGGCCAGCTCAGACCAAGCACAAGGCAAAGGAATGGTCATTTATGAAGTACCCATTCTGTGATAGAGGCATCACATACGTGACCAAATCCCCATTTTCCAGGGGAGGAAACCAAGGCCCAGAAAGAGGAAACAGCTTGCCTAAGATCACACAGCAAATGGATGGCAGAGCCCAACAGAGAACAAAACCACCTTTTAGCTTTTACTTGCCAAATTCATTTCTGCCTCAGGGCCTTTGTACTTGCTGTTTGCATTACCCTTCAAGCTCCATTCTGTCATTTGGGTCTTAGCTGTGATGTTACCTCCTTGGAGAAGCCATCCTGACCACCCCGTAAAAAGTTGCCCCTCCTCAGCTCTTCACTGTTTTACTTCTATATAGTATTCCTGACATTTTATTTTGTGTTATTTTTAATCTCTGTTTCCCCTACTAGGATGTAAATTTCATGCAGGCTGAAAACCTTATCTTTCTTTTCAAGTCCTCAGTGTTTGGCCAATAACAGTAGGTATTTAGTGCTTTCCACGTGGCAGGCAGGCACTGGGCCCAAAACTTTACAAGTGTATTAACTCATCTAATCCTCACAGCGGCCCTTTGAGGTGGGTACTATCATTATCTCTATTTTACAGATTAGGAAACAGGAGCAGAGAGGTTGTGGCCTGACAATGTCACACAGCCAAGTAGTGGAGGAGCCTAGATTTAAACCCAGGCAGGTGGGTTCCAGAGCCTGCCAGCTGCGCAGTAGGTACTGAATGAATGAATGAATGATCTCAGAGCCTGCCCTTTCCTCCCTGCCTTGGTGCTGCCTCTGACCCAGTCTCCCACCCAGTGCCCTCACCCTCTTACCTCCATTGGAGAGCTGCAGTGGTACAGCGGGCACTGGGGCTGCAGCCCTGCCTGGGGGAGTCCAGGAATGGAGCCTCCCCGCCAAGCCAGTCCCGGGTGCCTTCGTGGCGGCAGGAGACTCCTGGGGGTGGCCAGGCCGGGCCTCACAAGCTGCCTGTCTCACCTCCTCAACCACAGCCTCATCTCGACGTGGGGGTGCCAGGGTGATAAAGACAGAGGAGGCGACCCTCTTCTCAGGCTTTGAGGCCATTGCCTCGGCTCCTGGTGGGGCTGGAGACAGAGTGGGAATCAGGCTTGAGTGGAGGGGAGGGTGGGTGGCACTCCACCTGGACACGTAGACGCCTCCAGGGCAGGGAACCCCCCCAGTCCCTACAAGGCAGGAGTAGCCATCCCCTGGTGCCAGCGAGCCAGCGAGCCAGCGCAGAAGGGGCTGCGGATGTCCTGCAGGGGAGGGCAGGTGCCCACCAGGTGACTGGGCTACAGGGGGGGACCCAACAGTCCTGGGTGCCCCTCCCCCCAACATGCACACCTGGGGGAGTAAAGGGCAGCCCTGCCCTGCTCACCCGACAAATGATTAATTTCCCTTCTCTAAGAAGCTAAAGGGAGGGCCCGCTCCTTCAGCTCCCCACCCCCAGGGCAGCTGACTGCGGGTCCCAGCCCAGGGCCACGCCCCGAGTTAACTCCCTCACCTGGGATCCGGATAGGAGCGCTGAAGTCCCCGAGGTTCAGACCCAGCTCCACTGTGGGAGGGAAACAGTGTGAACCATCAGAACATCTGGGCTGGACTCCAGGAGGAAGAGGGGACAGAAGAACAATCAGAGCTACCGTTTACGAAGATCTACTCTGTGCCAGCGCTGCGCTAAGCACTTTGTACCCGACGTGGCAGGGGGAGAGGCACTATTACTACTCCCATCTTACAGACAGGAAACTGAGACAAAGAGGCGGAAGTCATCTGCTCAGGATCAGGCAGCAGCAGACCTGGGATCTGAACCCAGAGCCCATGTTCTTGGCCACTCGGTCTGCTGCCCTCTCCCAGCCCAGCCCACCCCACAAGTCAGCATCCTTTTCTCCACCATCAGCCTCCACTGCCAATCAAGTCTTAATTCTCTTGCCAGAATCTCGCTCTGTCTCCGAAATCACAGCTCTGTTTCAGGCAAGGGGGTGATGCCTCCTACCCTGTCCTGGAGTGATCTTTCCAGAGCATAAATCTGACTGTTTCTCCTCTACTTGAAAGCCTTCCACGACTCCCTGCTGCCTTCAAGATAAAGTCCAAATTCCTCTGGCCTCAACCTATTTTTGACCACCCTGGACCATTCACCCTTCCCAGGCTGTCTTTCTATCTGGCATGACTTACCCTGGCATGTTTCCACCACCTGGTTGTCCTCTCCTGCCCACTCCAGGGTGAACTTCAGCTTTTCCTTAGGAGCAGCCTGGCTCAAACATCACCTCCTCCATGAAGCCTCCCCTGATTCCTGACTCTGGGGCAGTTGTGTATTCCACACAGTGATGACAGCCCATCACAGAACACGCTGGCTCAGAGTCACCATGTCTGTCTCTCCCCCTTGCAAGTGACCTCATATGCCTTTAGCTGTATCTGTGATCTTTGTGTGACCCGAGTCCAGCTCATAGCAAGCATCAAAGCATGGCTCTGGGCGCAGGGCGGCATCTCAACCAGGGAGAGCCCATTTCCATCTCTCAGGTGGTCCCTGCAGAGTAGGCTCTGAGGTCAAGGATGAAGTCGGGTCATGGGGTGGGGCGAGTCGACCACACTCAGCTCAGGAGTCCTTACTGGGGACCCAGGGCCTGTGCCCAGTGGGGAAATGTGCCCTCTTTCTATCTCACTCTCCAGCTGGGCCACCCTGACATGGCCCCATAGCCCAGTCCACGGGTTCGTGGGAGCACAGTCAGCAGGGCCCCAAAGAGCGAACCTGGAGAAGTGGGCCTGGGCTGGGGGGTGGTGAGGGCCCAAGGGACCCTAATGTGGTCTTGGAGCTCAAAGGGCTCCCTCCACTGGCCACTGTGGGCTCTCCTGGAGACCGACAGAGAATAATAATAACAAGAACAACATGTACTCCCAAATTCCTCTTAAATCGGTTTATGTTTGGCTAAAGCATATAGCTTGTTCTGATAATAAAATATCTGTTCTGAGTGAGAAACCAATATATGAATAAGGCTTTAAAAGTTCTTTTAAAGTACTTCTCTTTTGTTTCTTGTTTTGGAAGTGATGTTTGGAAGTACATATGCTGCCACTGCCTGTCATGGTCTTTGGTTTCATACCTTGTTACAACTTTAAGAATCTACTCTTGTAAACAATTTTCAGAATACCTAATATATAAAGGCAAGAGACAGCCAGGGCACGTGCTGATAAAGGGCTGGCTGTGTGCCAGGCTCTGCGGCAAGTTCTTTCCAGCCTCAAAACTCACCTAATTCTCAGCACAGTATGTTACGCCCCCAACTTTAGAGATAGGTCATGTGAGACCCCCAAGCAAGAGGCTAAGTGACTTTTCGAGGCCACCTGTAGCCGACTTGGAATTCTAACAGAGCACCATCCAACCTGGAAGTTGAGAGGATAGCCTTGGGCCTGACATGACACACTTATTCCCCCCTGGATGACCGTGGGGTGGCGGGTGGGGGAGCAAAATTCCCAGGCCTGTTCTTAAGCCAGGATGGTCCAATCCAGGCCAGTTATCTTGTGGTCAGCATATTCTGGGCTCATCCCCAGGGACTGCCCTCTCTACCTCCCTCCCACCCAGCTCTGAACGCCACTCCACCCTAGCCCACCCCTCCGTGAATTCGGATCTGCTGGTTTCTCAGAAGACATCCAAGGCAAACGTCCTCGCACTGAGGCCAGATGTTCACAGCTGAGCAGCACCCTCCCCCATACCTCCCCTGTGGTTTCTGCAGGGACTTCAGGCCCCAGGGGAAGGGGCCGGAGCTGGGGATTTTCAAAGTCCTGTCAGTCAGGCCCAGGGCAGGAAAGGGAGCCACGGCTTCCCTCTGGTCCCACTGCCCCGGGGTCACCCTGGAGCAGGGGGGTGTGTGGGTGAGAAAGCTCCCTGTGGGGCAGCTTCCCAGCCAGCCCAGCCCAGGGGACCCTGGGCCCCCACCCTTCCTCCCCCAGAGGCGAATCTGAGATCCAGTTGGGTAAGCGGAGAAAGTGGAAACAAAGGGAAGGAAAGTCATTTCCTGTCAAGAGGAAGGAAGGAGGCTGAGATCCAGCCACTCACCCAGCCTGGCTTTAGGCTGTAGCCCAGGGTAGGGGCTGGGCTGGCTGAGCTGAGGGCCTGCAGGGGCTGGGGTAGACCCCCCCCCACACTGTCCCTGTCCTTCTCCTCTAACCCTCTCCAGAAACGCCTGGAACCACCTCTAAGCTGTGTTCTTTAATACTGCGAGAAAGCAGTCTATGCTTGGTTGCAAAGTCTAAACATTGTAGGAGGTGGGAGTCAGACCGTGCCCCACCCAACCCTGCAGGGGACCTTGCAGCCTTGGACCTGGGGTCCCTCTCCCTTTCTCCCACCCCAGGGAAGTAGAAGAGACACACGGAGCTGGGTTCACTAGGGGTCCCACCCCCTTCCTGCTGGGCAACCCTGAGCAGGTCACTGAACCTCTCTGGGCCTCAGTTTTGTCATAAAGTGAGAATAATGAGGTCTGTCCCAAAGGGTGGCTGAGAGGCTAAAAGGAGATGGAGTACTCAAGACCTAGGTACTTGGTGGGTGCCAAGAGAAAGCCAGCTGGTTATCCAGCCCCTGATGAGGAGGAGGCCCCCCTTGGGGGGCGGGGGCTGTGAGGACCAGGACTTTGCTTCCATCATTATGAAGGGCAGGAATCTGGGCACTGTCCAGCCTCTTCCCGAGGTCCTCAGATCTGGGCTGAAGGGGGACCCAGGCCAGGATGCCCCAGGCACACACCTTGGGGATCGCCCAGTCCCACCCTCTTCCCAGCCCCCAAGGGGATTTGAGGCCCAGAGAGGGGCAGCCCTGTGGCCCTTCCTTCCCCTCGCCTGACCCTGGCTGGGTAAAGCGGCCCGGAGCTCCGAGGAGCTCCGGAAACCCGGCGCCCTCCCGCAAGTAGCCAAGCGGGGCGGCTGGCCGGGTCACTGTGGGGCGCCGCCGGGGACTTTAATTCGATCCATGTGCGGGGCGCTGTCTTCTTTGTGCGGGAGCTTCCGCCCTGCCCATCCCCTCTCTCCGAGCCCCGCTCCCGATAGGGACACCAGCCTTCCTCCAGACCTGCCCTCTCTCCACTCGAGGGACAGAGACCAAGGGGCTGAGACAGAAGGACAGC